GTTCAAACACCCGGATCCAGCACCAGTGATGCCGCCGGCCTGCTGGTAAACCCGTGTAATACCATCCGGCAAATCAGGGAGTATGCTGCCTGGGCCCAATGAAGCGATTTCTGTTTGATCTAGGAGCATTAACTAATATAGAGGATCCCTACATCACAGCAAGGAACTAGGAGGTAGCATCTAAAAAATATATTCAAATGTTCATTATTATTTATAATTATGAAAAGAATGGCATGATGCAAATGGTTGAATGTTTTTTCCTTCTAGTTTGCTGAGAATGTTAGGAAGTATTCGACCTTTTCGCAGACAGGATTGGCATCTCTGGAGCGAGCCCCAATCCCCTCCAGCTGCAGGCTCGTACACTTATTCTGCTCACTGTGCGAAAAACAAAGCCGAAAGAAGGAAGTAAAGTGCAAAAGCTGCAGCGGCAACAAAGGCGCACACAATTACCGAGCAGTGTGTCCGCCCAGCGCCACCCACTGGTTCAGTGGCAGGGGTGGTGGGTGGTGGGTGGCTGAGTGGGTGGTGGGTGGTGGAGGGGCAAGGACGACGGAGCCCTTGGTCGAACTTTCGTGTTTACACAAAAACATTTAGACTGATCCCGGCGCATAGTGGGGTGCTAGAATGTGGGTTAATGGACGAGGAAAAGGGTTGAGAGATTTCACAAGATTGATGGGGAGAATGCGGGGCCGAATTCCCCAGTGTATGCAGGATAACGTCGTAGTTTCCCTGAATTAACATCCGATTCGAAAGTATGCTTTTGAGCATCAGAATGTTGTTCATTCACGGCACGGTACACTCAGCGAATCTCTGTACCTGCTTTTCTATCGAACATTAATCAATCGACTAAAATTCAGCCAACTGCATGTTTTCAATGAAAAGTAATCGCTTTTTACACATAAGTTTTGAGGATACGTGCCCACTTCTCATATTGTTATTTAAATGTTAGTAATGTCACAAGTTTGCACTTAATCTATTGTTGCCATAGCAAGAAATTCAGTATTTCCAATTAAGTCCTTGGCTGTTACTCACATCTTTAAGGTTCGAAAATTCGGAAGCAGCTCTCATGATTTCTCAACGGTCGCCATTAACAACGCGGCAAATGAAGGCAATATCTCAAATGAAACCACATAAACGAAATAATAAATACCAAATGATTTCATAATGAAATGTCGGGATGGGCGGTATGGGCGGGATGGGCAGGATGGCATCCGGCATTCGGCACTTGCCACTTGCCACTTGCCGCTTGCCACTCGGCTCGCCTAGAAAGCAACGCACAACCCACTGTCTTCGTCCTGTTCCATTCCGCTCCTTTTCGTCCTGCGCTGCGTATCGTGTCCTGTGCCATCCCCGTCATCATCCCGCCTGGCATTTCTTTTATTACTGAAATTGCGAAGGAGAAATAAAAAAATAAAAAAAATGAGGAAAATTCTTAATTTCGTTTCGTTTCATCAGCAGCAGCGACAAGATTTACAACATACTGTGAGCATAAAATAAAAATCTTATTTTTGTTCGAATGCGTTGGAGGGTGGACATGCGGCGAGCGAAATAAATAAATAAAATAAAAAAGCCAACGGAATAGAATGAATAAAAATACTCGAACGTACAAAAGCCATCCACCCATTGTCTGCTGTAGATTGTGGGGCGTGGAGCCCCTTAATAGTTATGGGGGTGTGGCAAGTGGATATGGCCTTCCTAGCTCAGGATACGCAATCAGGATGGGGTTCCCCTTTCCGGCGAATCACGCAATTGGAACGCATACCGAATGCAATAAAACGCACATGTGGGGCTCCATCGCTCCTGCCGTCTCATAATTTCTGTGCGGTTGGCAAATAAATTTGATTTTGAGCGAATTGTCCTGGATTGACTGCCAGCCACTGTCTTTACTGACTGCAAATTTGGCTCCACATGGCTTTTACTATGCAAGTATTGTGCGCGGGAGAAATCAAGTGGAGCCAGTGAAGCGAACGAACTGTCACTACTTTAAATAAGTAATAAAAGGTTTTCTGGTTGGCATAACTCACTTTGAATGTGAATCAGCTAAAAACGCAGCGCTTTCTGTTGCATTTCATTAACATGTATTGCTAAAACCCAGATAGAGCTTACTTCTCATTGAATTGCACAATATTTAAAGCTGATAAGTGACTTATTCCAATTTCATAAAACTGAAAGGTCGTCAAAGGGCAACTGACACCACTGTAAATCACTTTGCTCGATTTGGAACAGGCTTTCCACTTTTTGCTGAGCTCGGATATTGCACTGGATTGCTCAGACCGCTCAGTTGACCTTTTCCATTGTGAAAATTCTGGGACAAAATGAAATTCCCAAAGTCCTCAACAAAAGAAACCGAAATCGTATTGACGTAATAATAATTTATAGCACCAGAATGGTAGCAAAACTGCAGGCTTCATTAGAATGTCAGTCCCTCAATGAACTTAAAGCAGGAATTCTAAATATTTTCACTTAATTTTGAATATTATTTATTATGACAGTTTTAAATTATCAATGCTAGAGCTCTTTGCCTGCAGTTGCTTTAGATTGACTGACTGCTGAGTTATCCTTGCTGAGTCGAAATCATTCGACGACCACCTGCTGGTTGCCATCGCGATTCAATTTGGCAGATATTTAACACATCGCTTCAACACGCCCGAAAAAGCGAATGATATGAATGGCGAGGCGGACGATACCAGAGGTCAGAGGTCAGAGGAAACTCGCCGGCAGTTGGGGAAAATTGTGCGACAGGAGGAAAATAATTCAATGCAAAGGAAACAACACAACACAAGCACGCGCTGATGAATGGAAGGGGAATGGGAATGGGATTGGGATTGCGTTTGGGTTTGGGTTTTGGGTTGGGGAATGGAATTGGCAATGGGAGTGGGATTCAGAGGACTCGACTCAGGACTTTGGATTCGCAGCTCGGAACTCGGAATTCGGGGGCGTAGAATCGGAAAGGCAAAGGACAAACATGCCATGAGCAAAGGACAAAAGTCAGCCCTCTGAGGTGTTGCCAACAGGAAAAGCTTCAATCAGCAAAAAAAAAAAAACAAAAAAAAACCCAAAAAAAAGTATATGTATGTGTGTATAAAAAAGGAGGAAAAGCGAAGGCAACCAACTACACATTTAGTGTTTATTTCGTATTTATTGAGAGCAGCGGTTGGAGTTGGTCGGAATCCGAAAATGAAATCAGCAAGAAATAAATGTCCTTGTCGCACAGCATAATATAACCATCCCCTTATCCCGAGCTCCAAACTCCAGCCATATATACAATATATAAATTGTTTCCAAATCATTGGATACCCAGCCACAGAAATGCGAAAATGAAATTAGTCCATTGAGGGCAAAAGTCGCCAGGAAGTCGAATCCCAGTTACTCTTGTGAAGGTAAGGGCATCACTGCAAATGAGTATTAGTTTTCCGTAGAACTCATTTCAAAACTGAAGGAAATACATAAATTTATCAGCTAATTCGAGAACCCAACTTTGAACTAGGTGACTGATCCAATGTTCCTTCGGCTGCAGTCAGAACTCGAATCATATTAAGCCGATCATAATGATGATGGGATGCGAAAACGAGCAAGTTGGTCAATGAGTGTTTGCTTGACTGAATGAATGAATAAAGATTCCAAATGGAAGGCAAATGGCCAAAATCTGCCAGGGACATTAAAATTAAAGTCGAATGGCCTCTGGCCATTTGGGCCGTTCTCGACCGCAATTGATGTGTGCGGCTTTAATGGAAACCACATTTTCGGCCATAATAAATCGGCGCCCCTCAAGCATAAGACCACCCAAACCAGCTTACAAATGGTTTTCCCAACTTCCTGCAAACAAAAGTCCTTGCATTGATGTACATTTGATGTATGACAGGAGAGGATTTCTGGGAAAGTCTGCGGATTTGACAAACCGCTTCTTGATTTATATTTGATTTCAATGGAGTTGGAGGTCATGCGGCATTTGTACAAAGGAAATTCGATTCCGTTGACCATTTGTAAAATAAATGAAAGTCCATTTGGAAGATGTTCCTTGGAGGTTTCCTTAATTGTAACAAGAACAAGATGCTCTTTTCCATATGAAGCACTAATTTGATTATTTCAAATGGCATCAAGGCTACGGCTACGGCTTACGTTTGATTTAATTCGTGGCAAGACTTTCACATGTTCAATGGAAATCCCCCCGCACATTACTGCCAAAATACATATTTATTTATGTTTGCCAGCCATTTGTGCAAAGTGTTTGCACTTAATAAACCCATTTCGCTAAGCACTTTGTCAGTTGGGCGCTGGCAAGTGGGCGTGGCACTGGCAGGAGGCGGTGGCACTTCCGCTTTTCGGGTCCTAAGACCACCCAGTGAATCCTCCCACTGCTCACGCACTTACTGTTATGCCAGCATTAAAAGTTCATTGAATGGCAGAGGAAGTGAAAACAATTATCTTCAGGAAGGTGAACCATAAATCCTCCGAATCCGTAAGTAAATTGCAAATTTTCGTTTATTACTTTCGATGTCTGCTCTGGCTCTGGGGTGTGGAATCTGGGGAACTCGAGGGATTTGCGGTTGAATCGAATCGATATTCTGTGTGTTATCATATTTATTATGCAAACACACTTCGATTCCAAGAAAGTTCGCAAAAATGTCACACGTGCGCACACAAAGTGTATTATTTGCCTGCCGACTGAAATGTAAATTGAAACGCATACCTTTTCACATATCAACACCTTCGAAAAGGAATTCGGTTTTATTTCATGGCGCCCTATTGATTTGATTGCTCTTTGACGGGCTGATGGAGATGGCTTGCTTCAATTAACACGGCCAGGATGTGTTGGGTGTGAAAGCAGTGTAATAAATCTCGTTTCAATTTTGCAAGAAATTAATCTTTTCGATTCATACTTTTGGATGCTGTTTTTATGGAGGTATATTTTTCATGTTTTTAGAAATTCGTGATTGAAATATAAATTAGAATTATATATAAATGCTTGGATCAGATAAAATTAAATGAAATAAAAGCAATATTGCATATTAAAAGCGCGTGTTTAATTAATACATAAGGGTACTTATAGTTTCGTGTACAGGTAGATGGCCACGATGAGACCGTAAAGACCCAGGACCTCGGCGAAGATCAGGATCAGGACCATGCCCACGAAAAGGCGTGGCTGTTCGGCGGTACCCCGGACTCCAGCATCGCCAGCGATTCCAATGGCAATTCCGGCCGTGAGTCCAGGCAGTCCGACGGACAGTCCGGCGCCCAGATGCACATAGCCGGAGTCCATCGTGTAGTCATCGCCAATCGATCCGGCTATGAGAACCGAGACCACCAGGCCATAGATCGCGATAATCCCCGCCATGACGACCGGAATGATGGCCTTCATGATCATATCCGGCCGGTTCACCGCCATCGTGGCGATCCCAACCCCGGATAACGATGTTCCGTAAGCAGCTCCCAGGGTTGTGAATATAATCGCTACTGCAGCCCCCATACAGCCCAGGAAATATGAGTATAAAGGCTCTTCCTCTACGTCGGCGGTGACCATCTTGCTTTAATAGAAATCTTGCAACTTCGGGAATCGGAAAAATGTAGAACGTTGAGGGAAATGTTATCCTAATCGAAGTATTTCAAAAGAACAGCCTACTGTTTTTTTTTTTACTGATATATAATAAATGCAGATTACTTTATCCTTCCTCTACTTAGCGACAACTGAGTTGTGATACTAAAAAGTGAGAAGTGATACGTTAATAACTCTGTATTTTAAATCGCTTTAAAGTTTGTGTCACATTCAACGTGCAGAATTCTTTCCAAGTTTAATAACGTACATATTTGTGAAATTGTTTTCAGGGTTTTGGGAAATTTATATCCTCGAAGGACCGCAAAACCCATTCTCAGTATTGAAAATCGAAGCTGCGGTTTCTTATTCACTTTGAGTGGTTTTCCCCATTGCCTTTGCCTTTCAGCGCTTTTTTCGTTACCCTCCACTTGTTTCAATTAAACAAATTGGAAAATATGAGCCCTACTCGACTATCGGAGCTTAAAAAGGGCGACACTTTTGAAAGTCCCCACCTCAGCACGATGTTGTTTCGTTTTCCTTAAAATGGAAATTTGTTGCCACCGCTGGCGCGGAAGGGACGGAATTGTTTGTGGGGATGGGGCTTCAATTGCTCCTCCATTTTCCATGGCGTTTTTATTTGTGGCCCCAGCTCGGCTGCTTTGCATTTTGAATACATATTCCGCAAATTCCTTGGGGGAGCTTGTAACTTTGTCAGTGGCTCTGCGTTCGTGTGATGTGATTGTTAAGTTGGCCCAGATTTGTCACAGGCGACTTTGGCGAATGAGCACGGCGGCCGAGGGGATTCTTGATTGCTTCCTGGTTGGAAAACAGGTATGCGTTGGTCCTGGTATGTTCCAAAAATAATATATTATTTAATTTTGTTTTTAAGAACACGCTTAGCGATTTGAAATCAAAAGACTAGAAAAGAATGTTAAATAATTCGCCCAATAATGGGAGCTAAAACCTTGTTTTATTGTGAAAAACTTCGCATTACTTGGTGTAGAGGTAAATGGCGACGATCAGCCCATAGAGCCCCAGCACCTCGGCGAAGATCAGGATCAGGATCATGCCCACAAAGAGGCGTGGCTGCTGGGCAGTGCCCCGCACCCCGGCATCACCCACAATCCCAATGGCAAATCCAGCCGCCAATCCGGCAAAGCCCACCGAAAGTCCGGCGGCCAAGTGGATGTATCCCTTGCGAATGGTGTACGAGTCCGACAGAGCGCCGGCAATCAGGACGGAGACCACCAGGCCATAGATCGCAATAATACCAGCCATCACCACCGGAATGATCGACTTCATGATCAATTCGGGCCGCATCACGGCCATGGCTGCGATTCCAGTGCCCGATTTGGCAGTTCCATAGGCCGCTCCCAAGGCCGAAAAGATGATGGCCGATGCCGCTCCCATCGATCCGAAGAAGATCGAGTACGCCGGCCTATCCTTTTCAGCCGAATCTGCAGACATCTTTATTATGATTCTGAAAAACCAATTCGATAATCGCTGCGTTAGTTTTCCCGAGAAACTTACTGCTCTTAAATCGTAAGTTCCGCTTGCTCGACAGATTTTTGATTCGTATTGCTTTACTGTAAACTCAACGCCAACTCTATAAACTTGTATTTTGACACAGGTTGCCATTATCCATTTCAGGTAAATGGTAATTTATATTATACCATTATATGGTAATTTATAATTATGGAACTATAACATTTCTTTTTTAATTTGACTGCATGAAATCACTGCAAGCCATACAACACCATTTATTTTACTTTGTATAGTCAACTTTTTTAAGGGAATATCTTTAATTTAAAAGTTGTATCACTCAAGTGTGTATTTATGTATCGAATTAAGATATTCCGCTGAATTCGCATAAAAAGCCATTCCCGGCTTAATCACAACCAAATGCAAAAAGTGCGAAAGGTTGTCCATTAAAGATTTATGCTGCGCTGAGGGATTTAGCATCGAAATCCCCACTTCTGTGCCATCTTGAGCTCCTTTTGGGTCGCCTCGGAATGAATCCGTATCCGAATCCGAATCCGAATGCGTATCCATTGTTGCCACGCCGCTGCGCTTTGTTAGTTATTGTTTGGTCCGCTTTTCGCAACTATAAATCGTTTATGTATTTTGTTGAGTGCGAGAATTTATCGCTGGAGTTGAGTATGAGAAAGGAATCACATAAATACAAATAAATCAAAAGCATTTCGAATGCCAATGGCGATGGCAGTACAAACAATCTTTTCCTCCTGCTTCGAGGAATGGAAAATTGAGAAATATAAATGGGACATGGCATAGTTGGTTGTGCGTGTGTATCTGTGTGTGTGTAGTGGCTATAGGCAGGCTAGACTGTGCTGTGCGAAAATTGATGTCTTGCCTCATAAAAATAAGGCATCAGAGGAATCGCCCGAATGTGTTTTTGTTGAAAGCAACATTGTAAATTTTATGACTTTTTTATGCGCTGAAATCTATAAATTATGTAAACTGACACTGACAGCTGTCAACCGAAGGCTCAGCGACAGCTTCAGTCCCACTCACAGGCCCATTCTGAGTCCCATTCGCAGTCGCCAGGGTTGCCGCCGATTTTTTTCGGTGTCAAATCTGGACTGTATATAGCTAGTTTAGATTATGTTGGCCCTATAATTTTAATAGTCTTAAGGAGAAGGATTATGGGTGCTTAAACAACAAGTTGAGTTAAGCGACTATAGTATTTAAATATATTTTTATTTATATTAATTAATTTACTTAAATATTTATCTGGCTTCAGCTTTAAATATGTAAAGTATCTCCAGCTCGCTTTCATAGGCTTTCGATTACTATCTTTCAGCCGCTTTGCTCAATGCTTATTTTACAATGATAAAAACATATATGCAATACATTTCGAAAAGGGGTTGCTCATAGGTCTTCCCAAGCTGCGAGGGTAGCTAGAACAGACTGGAAAACTGCTGATGGGGCAGCACTATCACTTCAGTGGCAAGCGGAACGGTTGCAAGTGACACATGTGTCAAATGGTCGATGGGGAAGCGCGACAAAATGTGCTATTCCCACTGCCTGGCATCAGACTCCTTCCTGCGCCACTCGACACCACCCAATCCCAGTTCCTGCCCCCCCACTTCATCACTTCTTGGCCAAAGTGAACTGATGACTCCAGATGATTAAATGATTGCGAGCGGCAATAAAAAATGTATGTTTCGAATTATTGCTAATATAAATTTTCTTTTTTTTTCTGCTATGCTTTATATGATTTTCTGCGGGGTTTTTGGACAAAGCGGGCGCCTTTTTATATTCCTTTGAATGTTAGCTTAGATTCAAAAGTTGTTTATGATAAGCTGGGCTCAGTTTATAGTTCAAGCCTTAAACCAGAAATGGGTATTTCAATGGTATGGTACCACATGACAAAGCAATTGCATCGTGAGTGTTATCAGATAATGGTTTTTTACTTACTTGAAGTAGGTAAATAACTAAACTAACTAGCCGCGGTTAAAGCTCCGCTATGAATTAACCTCTGGCGTGTCCTTGCCCCCTTTTTTGCTCACTGTAGTTAAGTAAATCACAAAGTTCCTGCCAATGTGCAATAAATGCGGGCCATGGGTTTTTCCGGGAAAGCAGGCGGCACTAACATAACTAACGAAAGAAATTAACCGAAAATAAATAAACTAGAGTCCCCCGACCCCCCAGGAGCAACTAAAAGGGTTTTCCGAATCCCGATTCCACTGGGCACGGGGTGTCAACCGCTTCGCTCCACCGCTTCACTGCTCCGCTCGCTGTTGCTTCCGCTGCGATGGATATGGATACGGATTTTGATTCGGATTCGGATACGGATACGGATGCGGAGTTGGAGACGGAGACGGAGACGGAGACAGGGACGACTGGCAACAGAATGACTGTGTGTGACTCTCGGAATCCCAAATGTGTTTTCAACATGCAATTTTTATTATTGACTGCTGCCTGTCGGTTGTCGTGCTAGTGCGCTGCTGCTGCTTTTCAGTGTTTTCCGCCCGGCGAATCGTGAAAATGTCATTACTGTCTATCAAGTCGGCCAAGGGTTTTTCCACCAAAGCCAAGAACATTAAAGCCCTTTGGGCCGAGCAAGTGACAAATTGAAAAGTTCATTTAAAATAGGCGCGACTCCGTCATGTGCTAGTTGAAGTTCTTTAGTTCGAGAACTATAGCACTTATAAAACACCAAATATAAAAACATATAAATCAGAAATAGATCAATATCTATAATCGACCCCTATATATCTATTGCATTTCCAATAATAATTCTCCGATGCTGACGTGACGGAGGTATTCTTACCCATTCAAGATTACTTCGTTCTATAAAATAGCACATATGCAACTTTAAGCAAGGATTTTAACAACATTGTAATTTAACAAAGTTTAAAATACCGCGTCAGGACTTCGAAACATTTTCAGTAGCAATCTTTCGGATAAATAGATAAATATGCTGAAAGTAATTTGCGATGGCGTGTGATTTTGAGGACTTATTCTGTGCATAATGTTCCTGGACTGACAGGGCTTATTGGCTTGCGTGCTGGGCGTCAATTTCGATATGCTGACAGGGAAAACGCACCTCCGCCATCAGCCAGGAAAAACGGGATGGAAAATTGAAAATGTCGGAGCAGTCCAACTGGCGGATGAGTGATTGCCAACATGCATCGCCGGCATTGGCGTGCCAAATGTAACGATTTAGGCACTAGGCGCAAAGCTTGTTGAATTCCAGAGCCGCTTTTAGCTGGGCGAATGGGCGGACGGACAGTGGCTGATATATCTTTTATTATGTAGTTCTGTGTCATCGTAAAAATCGCCGGCTATTACTTGATTGTCCTTCATGGGTGCCATAAAGCCGTTGGCGGCCTTTGGCCCATTGTAAAATGATTTACTCGCCTGCGCCCCGTTCATTTGTGGCCGGCAATCGCTTGGAGTCTCTGATCCATTCTCCTCCACTCATTCATTTTTTTATGGTCCGCTTTTTTACGGCCTTTCACAGTTTAACGACACATCACTGACACACCAAAAACGGAGCCGGAATTAGATATTGGCCCGAGTTTGCAGCTCCTTCTTGGTTGGGCAATTTGACATACTTATTTCTTGGTTTCCCATTAAATTGTGGGAAAATCTTAAAAAATCTGACTAAACGGAGACTCCAAACTTTTGACATCAAGTAAACGTTCGTTGCAATGACCAAGTTTTACTTTAACAATTTCAGATGCTAAGCAATATTTCCGGGTGGAAAATAATAACTATGAAAATACTTTTACTACTTATTTATATCCACTATTTTAAGATGACTTTCGGCTGCAGTATATTTATCAGTTGCAGATACAAACGACGCAAATTGATTAAATTTCCTTTAAGTAAGAATTAAGAACTGCATTTCCCTACCAAACTTCTACTAGCAGCTGTTTAACTTTTAAAATATTAATTAAATATCAGCGCATTATTCGACAAACTCAAGCCGACAAACTGTCCAGAAAAGCTTTTACCACCAAAGTAGATACTGATAGAGGGCCTGAAACCACAACAATGTCCTGACTGAATGGCAGACTGACAGACTCCCAATCTGACAGACTGACAGACTGACTGACTGACTGACGGACTGACTGATGTTATGGCCGTGGCGACGTATGGCTTCATGTGGCCCCCAATATCGACATGAGCTTATTAACCAGACCCAGAACAATGGGCCCGAACATTTATGCCCTCTTCGGGAGGTATATTAAAATTGATTACTGCAGCCGAGCCCAACATCAAACCAGAGCCAACACTATACCGCACCCGAACTGAACCATCCAGACGGGAATATGGCAGACCTATGACGTGACAGGAGCCCATTTACTGGCGACAACTTGGTCATTTGGGTTATGTGGTGCGTAGGAAATTACTATGCTGCTTTCGCCACAAAACGCGAAATTATTTTGGCCATCAAAAGGATACAGACGCACACATGTGAACTGATTACAGATGGATTCTTGTACGTACTGTAGTACCTACAATTGTAGTCCCTCTAAATCTACCGAGGCTATGATCTGTTTTTCTTATCAACAGAGCTTAACTGATGGTCTTTGTTTCGACATTTGTTCCATTGCCAAGGCTCTGGCTTATTTCTTATAACTTTCGCAGCCCAATTTTCGCCTTCTGCCCAAGCAATTTAGCCGCATCTGGGAACTTTGTCAGTTGCTCGCAGCACCTACAAAAACGGGCCAAGAACTAAGCGAAAAAGTTGCGTAAACTTCAAGTGCAGGATAAACAGGACGAAGAACGGAATGTTGGGCACTGTGCACTGTAGTATTGCGAACGTGTGTAAGTAACATATTCTGAGCCAACAGCCAACAGCCAACAGCCAACACAATTCAATTTAACTTTTTCATTCCTTTTGCCGAGCTCTGTTATTTTTATTTATATATATGTATATATTTTTTGTACATGGCTCGGTAAGCTTCAGTGGGTGGCGGTCTGTGTGCAAGTGTGATATGTTGGATGCTATGGCAATTTCCACCGGAGTCAGCAGTCAGAGTCCCTTTCAAAATTAAAATGTTCCTTATGCACGAGAGATTTCTGATGGAACGAACCG